TGTATTCGTTTCAGGCTGTTGCAAAAGATACAAGAAACATGCGCGTGGATCTCGACTTCGCGGCCTGCGACTCGGATTGCACCTGCTGCATGGGTTGCAGTTCGTCCCGATGTTTGCGGTGCCGATCAACCAGAACATACTGTTTCGGAACCCTCTTCGGATACATCTTTGGGGCGTGTGGGGCAGTCTCGGAGCCCTCATGGGCCCCTCATGTGGGGTTATTGGGCGGCCTTGAATTCAGAAAGAGGCCTCAGAAGTCCACCGGAAGCGAACATATGAGCAGGCAAGCATACTTGAAAACATGACGTCGCGTTGACGCTTCGCGTATTCCCGCCAGCTCATCCCGAAACGATGACCATGCGAATTGCCTTGATCAGGGAAATGTTGGAACATACACTGAAACAAATGTTTGACGCTTCACGTATCCCCACCAGCCCATCCAGACAGAGGTTATCTTGACCTGCTGAGACCATTTTGCGGGTAGGAGGGGGAAGAGGAGGAGGAGGAGGAGGAGGAGGAGGAGGAGGAGGAGGAGGAGGGGGAAGAGGCGGAGGAGGAGGAGGAAAAAGAGAGAGAGAGAGAAGGAGGAGGAGATGGAAAGAGGGGAGGAGGAGGACGACGAGGAGGAGGAGGAGGAGGAATGCCGCACGAGGAATATGAGGAGGAGGAGGACGCAGGAAAAAAGGTGGAAAGGAACGGACGAAAACAAGGAGGATGAGAAGTAGAGCTTTGGAGGTATAGTGTGATGAGAGGTTGTTGAAGGACACGTAAGGCCATCTTAACGGCCCTCTTGGGGCCCCCGTGGGATCTCTCGGGGCACTGTCAGGGCCCACTTGGGGCTCGCTTGGGGGGTCTAGGGGGGCCCCCGATGCTCATTGGAGGGGTCAGGGAGGCCTCTTGGCCCTCATGGCTCAAGAGGGGGGGGAGGGCAACCCAGCCCATCCTCCCCCTCGGAGACTCAAACATGATGCCTTTAGGCACCCTGGGGCCGCTCTTGGGCGCCTCTTGGGCGCACGCGTGGCTGTCTTGGGGCGTTGTTGGGCCTCCTGTGGGGCTTTCGTGGGCCATCCGTTGCCATGTTGGTTCAAGATGTTTGCACCCCCTGGATACGAAGTGGTTACCTCTAGCCCGAGGCAGCGCCAAGGCGCCTGCGCCCAACAGTTTTTCCAGCCAGTACCTCAGGGGGTAATAAGCGGTCCAGCTCGGGGATTCACCTCCAGCCTTTGCAACCTGGTCACACCGTGCGCATGGCGCCGTATGGCTTTCGATTGGTTCCAGAGCCGCCGTGGGACAAGTCCTCAGCACTACGGCGGGTATCAACCGTGTCTGAGCACTCGGGGCAAACGTGGAGCGGCTACAACCCGTACTGCTCCAAGGCAGACGGTGTCGGCCCATGGTCGAGTGCAGTTCGCTTGGCAAGTGGCTCTTCCAGGATCGGTTCAGAGCGAAGCAAACCACGTGAGAGTTTGACCGCCTTTACTCCGCAGTCAATGCTCCTCAGCTGGAGCACCAACAGGTGCGAGCCCTTGCCGCCAAGCTGGCAGCGGATGCCGCAGCAGATGCCAGCACCAGGAAGGCAGCAGAGCCCCTCATGCTTACCGTGCAGCCGCCCCCTGCTGCAGCCAAGCCACTCCCGCCTGCTCAAGAGTTGCAGCAGGCCACGGTGACGCTCCAGAGGGATCAGAAGGCTTTGGACGGGATTAAGGAGCAGCGGAAGCGCGCCAAGCAGGAGTTCGAGAGATGCGAGGGGAGGTTACGCAAGTTCATTCCGAATGTTGCTGCAGCGGAGCAGGACGAAATCGAGAAAGCCAGGAAGTTCCTGCCGCGGGCGGGGCAGCCTGCGTCCAGGGCAGCAGTTTCGTACATTCAAAAGGTGCTCGGTGGCAAGCTGGACCTCGGTCTCGCTGGGCATGGACATCGCGGACCTGGGTTTCGAACAGTCTGATCACGAAGTACTCCAGAAGGCGAAGGCGAAGTTGGAGGCCATGCTCCAGCGGGCCGCGCGCGAGAGCTACGGGGCCATCAATGCCCAGTTCCGATTGCACACGGCGAAGGTCGCGGACGTCATGGAGAGAGCACGCAAGAAGAAGAGCAACGATGGAGTGGCCCGCGAGCAGGGCCAGGCGGAGACGCCAGCACGCTGAGGCGCGGCGGCTGGCGCAGCTGGCAGTAGCCGGCCTGCAGACCCCGCCCCCCAGGCAGGCCGAGGCGTGACGGAGGCGGCGGCAGGCCGAGTGCCCAGCCGCTGCCCGGGCCCCTCGCGCCGATGCCGACGCGGCCGCCGACTCCATTGGAGTGCCCGGCGCAGCGACCAGGCCCCAGGAGGAAGTAGATGGGATGGTCGAAAGTTTTCGTGCAAGGATGGACAGCACGCAACCCAGCATTCGGCAATGATGCGAATAATGTGAAAACGCCGCGCATAAGAATCGCGTCGGGCTGGGGTCCTGCGAGCACTGTCGTCTTGGCAGAATTACATGCGCTGCCAGCCGACTGCGCAGAGGGCTTTCATAACTGGAGTGGTTTGCATAATCCGCCAGTTGTCTCGCCATCGCACCCTACCAAGACGATCGCCAAGGCGGGCGGTATCAGCGCAAGAGTTAAAACAATTCATACAACGCCAATAGCTTCAGACATATTGCAGCGATTCCTGACCAGCAGTCAGGGCTCAGGAAGATTGCCAAGCCGAAAACCATTGTGGCATGGTTTGACATCAGAGACGCTGTTGGTTGTCAAGTGAAAATGTGTAACCAATGTATCCCCCTCGACGCATCTGAGGTGATTCAGCTGGGAACCCCCCTGCAGTCGCTGAAGACGCCCTGGTTACCGGAGATTGCAAGCTACATCTCCGCAGGGTCAACAGCGGTCGATGGTTGGATCAGGGCAGCGAAGGGAGCTGAGGACACACGCACGGCTGGACAGACGCGATTGATTGACTACACTGTCACCTCACGCACCACGGCGCGTGTCGTAGCAGGCATGATCACGACCATTGACGGCGAGGCCTGGTTTGGAGCGGGAAAGAGTCAATTCGTCACCATTGCGAAGCTCACGTTGAAGCTAGAGGAGGCACGCAGGTGGGCGCTGCCAACGCCGCAGAG